AATGAACACTGCTGCCAATACACAGTCACCTCTCTGCATTAGCTCACTGTGAAGGGAAGGAAACAGTCTGGTCAAAGGCACTCACGATACAGTGTGGAAGTATTGGGCGAAAACACGCTATGCTTTGATAGCCCATAGAGGACCACCTAACCCACACTTAGTTGACAAGGAAGGGTCCCAGAGGGAGTGGCGTCTGAAGTGGGTTTGGGCTTGCTTAGGGAATTATGTGGCTCATCTATTGAGCATGTCCAGGAAACGGGAAAAAGAGGGTTCTAAATAAACAAACTTGTTTCCAATTGTGTACTATTTCAAAGTGTTTTCAAATGTTTGTGATTATAACTAGACTAGAGGCTCGTTGCACGGATTCATGCACCAGTGTGGTCCCTTGGCCTGGCCTGTGCCCTCTCGCAATCTCCGAGACCCTGTGGGGGATGTCGGATAGCCAGTTTCAGCCCAATCCCCGCAGGCCCACTCCAGACAGGAGGGAGTGTGATCCTGTGCATTGAGCGTCTGTCCCCTGGTGGTCAGTTTGCATCATAGCCACCGGTCTTCCGGTCATTCAGTTGCTTAGACTTTTATACATATAAAAATGATATTGCAGTGAGGCACTTAGGGCCTTCATCTGTCTACCTTCCACACTATTTCTTTAGGACAAGTTCCTTGAAGGAAAATTACTGCAGCAAGGGGCACGAGCTTGTTTATCCACAAAAGGGGGCACGTAATTCAATATCATAGAAGACTTTTAGAAAGAAATTACAGCAAAGCTACGTTTTGAGGGATGATTCTGATTTAGATAGGACAAAGGTGAGTGACCTCAAAGCCTGGGGCAGCTCGTGTGCAGAGGAAAGAGCGGAGGGGATCATGAGTGACTGGGTGTGGATTGGCTTAGTTACAAGGTGTGGGGGTCATGTTGGGAGAGTGGGCTTACATGCAAACTATGTTTATTTCTGATTTTATAAAAAAGGTTTAGTTAATAAAATAATATAAGCTCCTTTTCCCTTTTTCTTACCCTTGAAGCTCATGGAATCCATTTGTAGCATATTCCTCAAATCATTATAAGGGTTATCTGTCGTATACCAGAATGTATTTTCTTCCACCTCCCCAGGTGATTTTACATCTGGAACGTATTCTGTTCCCCTCCATTGCCCACCATCATACTAAGTAACGGTAACTTCCCTTTACTTCATTCCTATTCATCCATTTGCACATGACCAACACGGTACTTATTAAGTCGAAGCCCAGTTTCACCACTTATTTGCTGTGTAATTTCTGATAAGTTACTTAACCTCTCTTTGCCTCAGTTTCCTCATGAAAACTTCAACAATATCCATCACAGGGTTGTCAGAGTTAAATAAAATCATGTATGCGTAAACACCTGGCACCTCTTTGCAGCACAATGGCAACGATTTTCCCTCCATTATGAGTATATCTAAATTCGTTCAGGTTGAAAATGCCTTTTGCTACGGTTTCCAGCAGTGCCAGGCAGCTTCAGAAAGGAAAATCAGAGAGGAACAGCATTATCCTGAGAGCCTTCTGTGAGAGGTGGCTACTCTCATTTAGGAGCAAAGCCCACCTGGAGAGAGCGCTCACCTTTCTTTGATTGATAGATTTGAGAATAAAATGAGGAGCCAGCCTTCAGGGCTTTCCATTCACCAGCTTTTACAAATTTAAGATGCACTTCATTTTAATGTTAAAATTTATATATGTATATCCCTTCTCTTAGGTCACTCTTGCCTTCTTCCTGCTCAGTTCCTATCCTGTACCTTTCCCCTCCCCCACATCACAGAACAAATCCAAACTCTGGTGATTTGAGATACCCCAAGATCTCAGGGTGGGGTGAGGGGGGCTGACTAATTTTGCCCAGACTTTCTGTAGAAGCTGCACATATGCTGCCGTTTTGAGTTGCATAATTGATTCAATCTCTGATTTTAGAGGAACGCTGAACTCCTTTTGTGGGACGCTGCATACATTTCTCTAGGGCAAAAACTGCCCTACTTTTTTCTCTCTGGTATCTGTTTAGTGCTAGGCCATTTTTCCTCTAAGAATCTAAACTACCCTCCGTGAAATAAATGAAATCACAGTTGGAAAACGGCTTACTGGACAGACTTATAACCACAAGATAAGAGCTACACCACACGCATTTTCTTAACGTTCTCCTCTTCCCTGGTTCGCTTTCTGTCTGCTCTGGAACAGCTTGGTGTTGGCTAAAAGGGTATGCTGGTCGCTTGGCTGAGGGTTGGCATTACCTGCATGGACAGCAGCTGCCTTGGCATCTCATTGGGAACACAGGCTGTGGGGTCTACCCTTGCTTGCCCCTGGACCTACTGTGCAACTCTAAGCAGATGTACTTCCCTCTCTGAGTCTTACCTTCAGCAGTCCCTGGTAGACTAATGTCTGCACTCCTGGGCTATAAAGATAGGTATGTAGCAAGCTGCAAACTCACATTGAGCCTTTTGGTTAACCGGGTGTATGTGAAGTGCCAACTGGGGAAGATGACTTTATGCCTTCTGAAAGGCCACTTAACCACAATGACAACCGGCAATTTTAAGCTTATCACTTACTTCATACTGTACTTGGCAACCTTATTTTTGGTTATGTTTTCAAGAATTTCTAACTGGAAAGTCTTGTTTGAAAGCAGATGTCTTTTATAAACCCTCCATTATGAGTATATCTAAATTCGTTCAGGTTGAAAATGCCTTTTGCTACGGTTTCCAGCAGTGCCAGGCAGCTTCAGAAAGGAAAATCAGAGAGGAACAGCATTATCCTGAGAGCCTTCTGTGAGAGGTGGCTACTCTCATTTAGGAGCAAAGCCCACCTGGAGAGAGCGCTCACCTTTCTTTGATTGATAGATTTGAGAATAAAATGAGGAGCCAGCCTTCAGGGCTTTCCATTCACCAGCTTTTACAAATTTAAGATGCACTTCATTTTAATGTTAAAATTTATATATGTATATCCCTTCTCTTAGGTCACTCTTGCCTTCTTCCTGCTCAGTTCCTATCGTGCACCTTTCCCCTCCCCCACATCACAGAACAAATCCAAACTCTGGTGATTTGAGATACCCCAAGATCTCAGGGTGGGGTGAGGGGGGCTGACTAATTTTGCCCAGACTTTCTGTAGAAGCTGCACATATGCTGCCGTTTTGAGTTGCATAATTGATTCAATCTCTGATTTTAGAGGAACGCTGAACTCCTTTTGTGGGACGCTGCATACATTTCTCTAGGGCAAAAACTGCCCTACTTTTTTCTCTCTGGTATCTGTTTAGTGCTAGGCCATTTTTCCTCTAAGAATCTAAACTACCCTCCGTGAAATAAATGAAATCACAGTTGGAAAACGGCTTACTGGACAGACTTATAACCACAAGATAAGAGCTACACCACACGCATTTTCTTAACGTTCTCCTCTTCCCTGGTTCGCTTTCTGTCTGCTCTGGAACAGCTTGGTGTTGGCTAAAAGGGTATGCTGGTCGCTTGGCTGAGGGTTGGCATTACCTGCATAGACAGCAGCTGCCTTGGCATCTCATTGGGAACACAGGCTGTGGGGTCTAACCCTTGCTTGCCCCTGGACCTACTGTGCAACTCTAAGCAGATGTACTTCCCTCTCTGAGTCTTACCTTTAGCAGTCCCTAATGTCTTTACTCCTGGGCTATAAAGATAGGTATATAGCAAGCTGCAAACTCACATTGAACCTTTTGGTTAACCAGGTGTATGTGAAGTGCCAGCTGGGGAAGATGACTTTATGCCCTCTGAAAGGCCACTTAACCACAATGACAACCGGCAATTTTAAGCTTATCACTTACTTCATACTGTACTTGGCAACCTTATTTTTGGTTATGTTTTCAAGAATTTCTAACTGGAAAGTCTTGTTTGAAAGCAGATGTCTTTTATAAACCCATTTGATCCAGTGTGTAGTTTGGAGACTATCTTTTCATCAGGTGCTTCTTGGTTTGTAGTTTGGAGACTATCTTTTCATCAGGTGCTTCTTGAAAAAACTGATTTTTTTGACATATTTTCTTTACTCTAAGAAGAAAATAACATTTGTTAGGTCCATACTCAGTACCACTATTTGAGCAAATCCCCCAAAGAATTCTCATACTATAAAACTGATGAACTCTACTGTTTACATCAAGGGAATAATGTCAGAAGCTATTTCCAACTGATGTCTGTTATAGCCTAAATGGATTGTGTCATTATGCTGCTAAAAGAATTTAGGCTTAGAAAATAGCTTTTTACTTTTTAATAGGAAACTTAGCATAAACAGATTATTGTTCAAATTCAGATCTGTTACTTACCAGTTGGATAAATTTGGTCAAGTCCCTTAACCGCTAAGCCTCATTTATATATGAATATTTGAAATTGAGATAAGAATCATACTTTTCAGGTTTGTTGTGAAGATTAAATGCTAAAATGCTATAAAGCCAGTCATAGACATGCATCAGCCAGGTTTTGCTGTAGTGACCATGTGTAAGAAATAATCCATGAACCTAAGTGACATACCACAACAAATATCAATGTTAGACTGAGTTGGAATTGCTTCCAGCTTGTGTGTTCTCTTCAGATCTGTTAGGTTTTTTTCTTTTTTTTAGTCAGGTACTGGAGACTGAAAAAATAAAAATAAAAAATTAAAGAATATGCCTTTCATGGTGAAAACTTGCCAAGCAACTTAAAGCATCAATTCAGAACTGGCATTTCTATCACCTCCACACAAATTTTATTGGCCAAAACAAATCCATGACCAAGCTAAATACTAGTAGGTCAGGAAAATATACTCTGCCCTAATTGGAAAAAAAGTGTATTTTTGCTGAATGGTTAGCCAAACCCCTTCAGAGTTTACTGCATCTCATTTTCCCTCCTTTTCTTATTTCATCTGTGTGACCATTGGCTCTTCTCCATATAGTCTGCTCGATAGCATCTACTTTGCATTTCCGAAATTACATCACAGCTCCCTCTCTTTCTCTTTTAATTTGAAATTCATTTAAAAGATATACTTTTCTTTGTAAATAGGTACTTTGGAAAATCCCTTACAAAAAGAACAAAAGCTTCTGATTCTCCTTAGAGCCTCAGAGGGAGTCTTTTGTGACCGTTTCAATGGAATTCATATTGATCCAGGAACAATCGGTAAGAGTAAAATAAGTTTTTATTAAAAATGAAATATGTGTGTGTTTGTGTGATAAAGCACCATTCATATATTGGAACATCTACTAAATTCCAGTCACTGTTTTGGATAATTTATATTTATTTTATTTACCAGCTCTCCTGTAAGCAGTGCCCATTTTACAAATGATGAACAATATGTGAAAAAGGCCATATAGCTGGACAGTGTCAGAATTTAGAATCATATCCAGATGAGCAGACACCAAAATCTAGACTAAGAGTCTGTATTATTAATTGTAAATACTATGTAATTATTGATAAATTTTTATTACATTTTTAATTTTAAAATTATTTTTAATAAATATATTGGGGTGACATGGGTTAAAAAGATTACATAGTTTCAAGTGTGCATTTCTATGACATATGATCTGTATATTGCAAGTTAAGAACCATATGATTTCACTCATATGAGGGATAGAAAACTGAAAGCAACAAATGAACAAATAAGAAAAAAAAAAGCTCATATACACAGACAACAGTATGGTGGTTACCAGAAGGAATGGGAGTGGGGGGTAGTAAAGTGTAGGGGGAGTCAAATATAGGGTCACTGAAGATATACTTTTTAAAACTTAGAGATCTATAAATTACAAAGAAAGATTTACTATTGACAGTTTCTCCATTTGATACTGCCACAACACCAAATCTTATTTTAAAATTGCTCTACAGGAGATCATAGAAACTGTGACCGATCTTGTATAACATGTTGTAAGAGCCACACAATAACTCAGTTTTAAGGTATAGCTATAAGAGACTGTTTATCAGATTTCTAGTATTTTCTCACTTACTCTGTACGTCATTACTAATTGCACAAAATATCAGTGACTCAGTAAAATGGAAACAAACATGTTAGGATAGTTTGAAGTTTGGTAACTTAGTTCCATAATGTGTAAACTTTTGATGATTATGAATGATCAAGAAATCTACTTTTCTGGTCGATTAAATTTTTTGGATAATTCAAATTTAAGAAAATAAACTGTTAGGATTTTTTGTTTGTTTGTTTTTGGTTGTTGTTAAAATCTTTTGTTGTTGGCAATTTCTCTAAATTACTTCATATTTCTTCTTCTGAAGAAATTGGTAACCAATAGTGAAAAAAATGGAATTTTAAAATGATGACAATAATGATAATGGTATCTTCTAAAACTTTTATATACATATGATTATTATTAGGAAATATTGATTCCCGGACATATCCTGAAATTCAGAGTGTTTTTTACATTTCCATTAATTCTAATTTTAGTTTTATTATCTTCTGGCTTTTCTTTGAATTAGAGTATGGAAAAAATTAAGGATATTGACATAAATAGTTGGTTAAACTTCCATCATTTGAAACTTTTTTGTTTTACATAAGATGAAAACTTAAGGCATGTTATTTGTACTCTACTGGTGTTTGTTTCTTTTATTCATGTTTTATGCTAAAATTTGTAAGATCTTTAGCGTTCAAGATTCATGATTTGCAACAAAATTGGGTACAGCAGTACAGGGGTATGTAGACAATTCTTTGGAAAATATTTGAAGAAGATATTAGAACTCCTATTCAAATAAATATGAATATACTCATACATATGTATATTTAATTAAATAAATATACATGCAGTAGGAGTATATAACCATAATTTTGTTACTGCTCGGGTTCATGCCCAAACATTTTTAGACCACTAGGATCTGAGGAATTGAGCTTCACGTCATTTTAAAATGTAGTAAAACATATAAGAGAAAAGACCTGAAGGGATAAAACTGGACTGCATCAAGCAAGACCTTGGCAAGACTTTAATTTATGAGTCTTAAATGATATTTTGAAACAAAGGAGCTAGAGATCTATTCTTTGATATCTGTAATAAAGAAATAGAGGTCTAACCACTGAAAACAAAGTTAATAGCACCAAATCTATTTCCTTAGGAAATAATAAATTACTCTTGCCTTTTGGAAAATCCAGTGTATAACATAAAATATCAAAACCAGTTAACTTCCAACCAAATTGCAGATGGTGTGGAGTCACTTAATGGTGGAAATCTAATTAGCCATTAGTGTGGTCTATTTCCCAACTGTTGGATTACTAGATGTGATGTGCATGCATTTTTCTATAACTTTTGAGAGAGTGCGTTTCATGTCCATGTGAGATATATTTGACCTGCTAAAAACAGAGCACTAAAATACTCTTTTTCTGATAAGTGTACATCTTTATATGTAGTTTCTATATCACATATCTTGCCCAATAACCTCTATAATGAGTTTTACTCATGTTTCCTTAATTCATCTGAAGAATTTTGCTTATTTTATTTTCAGGAGTTTATGGGAAACTTCAGCTTCACAGTGCTTATCCCAAGAAATCCTGGACACGGCTTGGGGCTGACATTGCTTCAGGCAATGAGAGGTAAGGAATGAGAGTAAGTTACAATATATTTCTTGGTTTAGTTTGCTTCTGCTTGATGTTTTGTCATGACATAAAATTAAATTTTAGATTAATAATTATAATTCAAGGATAAATAAATGAAAAAAAGGAGACCAGAAGGGATTATGGAAATTTCTGAAAAGTAATAGAGAAAAAATAAAACAAGTAAAAGGCAGGGGAGAACATAGTTTATTTAAGGAATTAATTTTAGTTAACACATGTTTACAGCTATCAACAAATCTTTAAAAATATCAATTCTATGAGTTAATAGATGATGTATAAGGTGGAACCATTATAGTCTGAATTGAAATGGTAGGTGATTAAGAGATAGATGAAAATAAATTAAGAGTGAGATGAAGCATATGAAGAATATTATAGAATTGAAAAGGTAGTAATATAATTTAATAATTTTGGAGGAGTAAAGGATGAAATTATCACTGCCTCAAACTACAGAGGTAATATGGAGAACAAACTGGTGGAATTTACCTGAATGCAGAATAAAAGGTCAGGAGATAAAAATAATAAAAGAGAAGGTATTAAAAATAGAAAACAGAAATTAGAAAGTTTATGCAGGTAATTGCTCTTTTTAATAAGAGCCCAGAATAACTACAACAGAAAGAATAGTGAAAACTGTAAATGAAATGTGCATAGCAAACTTTGGAATAGTTACATTTAATTTGAACAGAGCAACATCAAGAACAATGATTGCTACATATTCTCATAGTATAAGAAAAAAGAGTGGAAAAGTAAAAGAAAAACAGAAGGAGGCATGAAACTTGCTAATCATAGAATTTTTTACATCATTAAAGGTAGGATGATAGTGGAGCAAAACCAATATATGTTTAAGGAAAAAAAGATTATGGACTCTATGCCTAAAAAAAAAAGATACTGTTTTGCTTTGCAAGACAAGACCTGAAATAAATGGACAAAAGAGATTAATAAAGAGATTAAACTGAACATAAAATTCAAGAATAAAAATAAAATTTTAA